CGCACTCTACATGAGCATCCAGGCAGCGGTCAAATTGCCGAGCAGGAGGCCGGGCGCGCGCGGCGGAAGTCCGTGCCGCATTCCACGCACAGCGACCGGTCGGTCGGTCGACATCACCCATGCGCATGCAATCCCATGCAACTCAACACTGCCCTATATGTATTAGCTGCGTAGCCGCTAGCGCGTGATTTCAAAAGATGTGTAAAGTCGCGCGCTGGCATCTGTTAATTCATGATCATTATTGACTGGAGACAAATTTGATTGCGCTCTGCACAGCATCTTGGCTGTGATCACGTGCATCATATCGCTGGCACGTGACCAACGGCAAAGCGTTCGATCTTACAACAGTCTTGAGTCAAAGTCACGCCGGTTGGTGGAGATGCGCTCGGGCAGGAGTCAAGAGTCACAGTCGCAGTCACAACAGTGCGGAAGTTTGAGGTCCTGCTGATTCCTACAAAACGGATTCGACATTCGATTCGCGATTGTAATTCAAGATTGTTCGTGGTCCTTGATCAATCTTTCTTCGTAACGTAACGTGACAGCTGGAATCCTCGGTGACCACTTCTCTTGGCTTCTGTCATCTCGGCCGCTCGCATTGCAAGATTGTGGAGAAGGTGCCACGCGAGTCCGGTGGATAGCGCACGAATCCAGCCCCGCTTTCAGGAAGACGCCCTCGCAGTGGCTGCCTTCACACGTTTGTCGTTCGACGATAGGGCAGCACTCGTAGGCTTGCAACATGCATTGCTTAGTGCGTTTATATAGCGTCGAGAGAAAGCCGCAGTCAAAAAAACCGCTTCGAGGTCTGACGCTCTCCTTTTTGTGCATTGCTTTTGTCGCAGCGCTGGTGGCTCCCGCTGCTTTTGCTGCCGCTGCCAGCGGCAGGTCCCTTCACCATCGTGCTGTTCGTCGTCGCCTACGCCATCACAACCAAACCTTGGTGAGTGGATCTGCTCAATGATGTGGTGCTGAGTGATACGCGTAGCTCATGATGATCCCATGCCGATCTAGCTTCTACTGTGCATTACTTCTGACTGTGTTATTAGCAAGCACATGTAGTTGGTACATGCCAGCTGAAGAGCCTCGACCACCGCCACGCACAGTCTGTTCAGCACCGTGGACGCCTTTCGAGACTCTGATCGGTGCACCAGCCTACATGTGCAGAGCTCGACGACCAGCCAAGCCATCAACCTGCTGGCTTCCCACCAATCGTCTGTTTGCCTCGCCGCTCCAATCCAAGACCTCCAGACTGGTCCCTCCCGTCTCGGAACGAATCGCCAGTGCCTTCAATGTCAAGTCGCAGCACGCCAATAGCGGCGACTCGTCTCTGAACCACTCATCTCCCGAGTCAACCTCGGCAAAGACGGCTTCACTTGCCTACCGTCTGGCTCAGAGGCGTAGGTTGTGGTTCGGAGTCGGCGATCGTTCCCGAGGACTTGGCTATGACCTCATCTTCGGTTGGCTACCTCCTCCCAAGCAATGACCTGGGGCACGGTGCTGCGTGCAGTCGATCAAACTCCAATCTCTCCTTGTGTAATGGACCAGATTGCGCAAGCTCACCGAGAAGATTGAGGATGTACTAGTATTACAAGAGACAAGAGACGGGAGGCAAAGTGAGGTTACAAGGCGCTAGATACAGCATTCGTGACTAAGGGGGCGGCAACGCGCGTAGACATAACAATCTGGATCCCTGCGAGAAGAGTTGTGGCTCAGTCATTCTCTCCTAGCGGGCGAAAGTACGACGCGAACATCTGCTCCCCTCGCAAGAGAGGCGACTCCGAGATGACGGTGTGGACGTGCACGACCAGGGATGGGAAACGCTTGGTGAAGTAATGCAGAAAGGGACCTGGTAAAGCGCCCATCTGCCTTCGCAGAGCTGGAGACATGTCCTGATAATGATGTTTCTGTCATTCAAAAGCGCGAATAGTCAATTCCTGCATTGCAAAGGCTGCTTGCAGCATGGTTCACCAACGCACCTTGTTGCGCAAAGCCCGCAGCAAGTCCTGCACGCTTGAGCGTTCGTACTTTCGGAACTTGCCAAGGTCGTCCAAGAAGATCTTGTCCATCCTACGATGCCAATCTGATCCAATGACGGCAGCTGCACAAGACTCGAGCGCAATCAGAGGCGGGGGCGGTGTGTCCTTGTCCATGATCTCGAAGCGATCACTGGCGTCTTGCAAGAAAGCAAGCCTTTGTGCATGATCCCAGAAGTAGGGGTGGGTCAAGACGTCAGGCGCGCTGGGCCTGTCCTTGGGCTCTACTGCAATCATCTTGGAGATAAGATGTTGCGCTTCATAGCCTTCCTCTCCGAGTCCCGAGAGTCTCGATAGGTCAGATGCGCTCTTGACTATGTTCATCTCACGCTCGAAGCGACTCCCGAATGGATGATCGCCGTTCGCCAAAATGTAGCTACGGAAATTTGAGGATGCGTGGCTTGTCAGTGGTGAGAAGATACATGAAATGACACAACGGGCTACTCACTAAGCCAAGCAGCCGAGCGCAAAGACATCCACTGCGCGTGTAAGGCGCCTGGAAGTCTCGCCGTCTCGAGGAAGACCCGAACGCATCCCG